TATTTGGATAATCACAAAATACAATCAAATTAATTATAAGAATTTAAGTATTGCTCCACGTAAGCTTCTATAATATCTGACCTTACCGATGCCGTTAAAGTGAATGCCATCCGGGCAGAAAAATGTTGCCGTATTTCTAAAAACATGCCTATGCTTCCAGAAGTGTCCGTAAGCCAGGCCCCCTAACTCCACCTCTAAGTTATTTGCCACACGTTCGTTAAAGTTACTTCGAGCTGCTGTGACGCGAGGGAAAATCTGACACACGATAATAACCTTGACGTTCATGCGATCATATGCAAATGACGCACCAAGTTAATAGCGCAGCGCACCGTGTCTAAAAATAGCTCGCGTACGCGTCGTGACTGCAATATTGCAGTTTTCGGAAAAAAATTATACACTGTATTTACGAGACTGCATTATTGCTATGGTTAAGAAGCACTGCTGCTATGGGCTGTGTAACAGCGATTCAAGGTATCAAGAAAGACCGCATATGAAGGATGTTTTTTTCATAAACTTCCCCAAGCCAAAGACGAACAGAGAAAAGTGTGAACGTTGGATTCGTTTATGTGGCCGGCCGAAAAAAACATTTTAATGTCGAGAGAGTGACGAAGTTTACTTATATATGCAGCAAACATTTTGTTGACTGCAGGGGACCGACACACGACCACCCGGACCCAATACCTGCTACTGCCTGCCAAGAACAAGTAGAGCGGTATGAATGTTTTTTACTACATCATACATAATAAACCAGAAATGAATTGTCTTATTTTGCTCAATACTGTTATCGGTAATATCAGATTGTTTATTGCCGTTTTACTGTGTAATATACGTTCGTCTCTCTCACTCTCTTGATTGCTGGACCCCGGGAGTATGACATCGGTTTCCCCGTATTCGAACTCTTGGGTTCGAATACGTCCGCAAAGTTCAAATACGCGCTCATCAAGGGTTACATGATAAGTTAACACAATAGTGAGTGTTCTTCGTGTTTTATTGTTTTTTAGGTAGATCGATATAGCAGACGAAAAAGGAAAGCACCATTCCAAAGAAATTGTAGTGTGCCAATATTAAAAAGACAGAAACACGGTGAACCTGATTTGAATGCAGCATCGGTACTCTTGGAACTGAGTACTCTTAGAATCAGTGATGATTCAAGTTATCCAGTTACGTCTCAGAATGTTAGTACAGCCAGTTAATAAATAATCAGAATCACAAAACAAAACAGCAGTTTACCATAAAATTAAAATAATAATAATAAAAAAACATGGCAGAAACATGCAGAATAATAGTCAAATATAAGTCCATTTTCCCTTGTCATTGTCACCACAAACACAACCTATGTCTAGAGTAAAATGCTAGTATTTCATGATAGTTGCGTTTACCATGTATACTCACCGTTATAAATTGTACTTATTCTTTATTATCATGAGTACTCCTGACATATAGTGCATTTATTTGAAATGAGTTACACCTTTTTTACCACTCAATTTCATTCAAATATACAAATTCATATGAAAATGAGAAAAGTGAACATACAAGTTTATTTCAAAGTGTCTATATTAAACTATATATATACCCATACAAATTACTTATTGGTTCCATTTGGGGGAGTGGCCAATACAATAATTCAATTTTTTTATTGGCTACTAGTATTACCTCCCAAGGCTAGTAGAATGTTACACATGTTGGAACAAAAAAAAATCAATAACAGTTTATTTTGCCAGAAAATTAAGATTATGTTTATAATAATGTGTTATTTTTTGATAGGTTGTAACCATACGAACACAAACTGATCCCGTTGTTTGTCAGTGTACCAAGGTGGATGTTGGTTGCCAAACAGTATATGATAAATATATGCTTCAGTGTAAAGTTGAAAACATTATTTTGAAAAATGAATTAAATGTGCAAAAAGCCAAAACAGGGTCTTCAGTTGAAAGACCATGTCTAAGTCTTGATGACGTAAAAGATGATGACAAAAAAATGAATTTTTTTTATCGGACTTACCTTTCTACATTTTTTGGCTCTGTTTAATTTTCTTGGTCCAGTTGTCAACCATCTGACATACTGGAAAGAGTCTGACAAAAAAGGTGATAAGACTAAGTTGAAAAACAAGAAAACTAATCCTATTGATGAATTATTCATGACACTTGTAAGACTTCGACGTGGATACTGCTTTTATACAATGACATTTTTCTTGAAATTTTCTGAATCATGGATTAGATGTATATTTACAACCTGGCTCCAACTTCTCTACTGCCATTTTAATGACATTAGAAAACTCATGTTTCCTGATCGCACTGTTTTAAGAAAATTCATGCCCAAATCATTTCCTGGGTTCAAAAATGTCAGATGTTCTGTTGATTGTACCGAATTCTTTGTACAAATGCCAAGGGACTTTGCAAGGCAAGGGAATTTGTACTCTAATTATAAGCACCACCATACATTCAAGTGTTTGATTGCTGTGGCACCAAATGGTACTGGTGTATTTATATCGCCACTTTATGAAGGAGCAATTAGTGATAGGGACATTTTTGAACAATGTGGTATTTTGAAATACTTAAATCCAAATGACTTACTGTTAGTTGACTGTGGATTTACTGTAGAGGACTTGCTTATGTCTCAACAAGTTGACATGAATATACCCCCCTTCCTTAAGGGACGAGACAAATTAACACAACAGGAAGAACTTCTCACACGAAAAATAGCCAAGGCTCGAATCCATGTAGAGAGATTTAATAAACGCATAAAGAGGTTTCGATTGATATCTGGAATAATTCCACTGTCCCTAGCTCCAGTAGCGAGTCAAGCAGTGTTTGTAGCTTGCTGTCTTGTGGACTTTCAAGATCAACTTGCCAAGTGAAAAATAATCCTAATTCCTTAAGAAAGGGGGTTATGTTCATGTCAACTTGAGACATTAAGTTTAAGTACCAGTACTGTTATGTCTTTATATATCAAAGTGCCTCTGATTTTTTTTCTGGATTAATAGCGCTAATGCTAATGTATCATCATTCAGTCGAGTTAGTATTTTGAATGAAAATTTATAATTAATGTAGCACATTTAATTCATTGATGGATTAGAATATACAAGTAGCAACACATTTAAAAGTGTTCACTCTGCCACTAAACAAATCATTGCCACTTGATGGATGTCATCACCTCCACATGGCCATGATTTCATAATATTGCTAGTCAGCTTATTTATAGAGAAACAAAAATGTTTTTTTTTGCTTTTTTTATGCATCCTGTAATATTTCAATGTGGACTAAACAGAAATAATCTAAGAGTGCTTCTACTTTTTTATGAAAATATTCAACAAATAATTTTTTTACAATGCAGGTAAGTAAGCTGGGGAGAATATGGAGTTGACTAAGGTGGAGGCTGATATTAAAAACTAAGGAAGATCAGCCTTGGCCAATAACTATTTTATATCCTGAAAAACAACAATGAGAAAGCAAGTAAGGTAAAACTGACATCTGCCTTTATTACACATTATCGCTCAAACGCCCCAAGACAAAACAACTTTAACAACATGACAGCAACAGTTGTCTAACATTTTGTGGCTGTCAAGTATACAATCATATTGGGTTGAGCTGCCAAATTACTCAAAATTAAAACTGTTAGAAACTCACAGAAAGCCAATTCATCTAATTTGTTGTTGTATACAAAATGCAAATGTCATAATGTTAAATACTAGAAACAATAAAAAAATACACAGACAGGCTATTATGAATAAACGTTGTCCACAGTTGACCAATCAGACTGATAAATACGAGGGATAATACTACTACTCACCCCCTCAGTTAAAAAACTTTCAAGAACTTGTGGATATACACCCCCCCTCCCATCTACACATACTGATATGGTAGCCAACTTAAAAACACATATTTTCAAACCAACCAACTCCATCTCGCATGATTTTTACAATCTACCATCAGTTATTGTCCTGTACAATAAAAGGACTCAGACTGCGAGGTGTTTTCATCTCAACAAGTTCTGGTACAACGGCTACATTCCAAAGTTTTAAGTTGGTTACCATAATGTCTGAAATAAACTCAGAGTCTGCATATATGCGTTGAATAGATGGCTGACCTTTACAGGACCACAAGACAAAGTCACACTATTTACATCCTGTCACTCCAAGCTGGTATTGTACTTGGTAGTAATATGCATGAGTCTCTTTTAACATTAGTTTATTATTAATAATTTTGAAACAGGCTCCTTTTATATCCTTGGCAGTAAGTTTACCTGTTTGTATACAATTCAAGAGCTCTGCAGCAGAGTATTTTTGAAGCAATTTAAGTACTTTAATTTCCAAAAGTCCATGTTTATCGTCCGCTGAGGAATCAAAAACTATACCGTCTGGTGTACATGCAAGTTGGGGGTACTTTTTGGACACCCACAACCCAGTCTTTTCAGCAGAAAAATTTGGGATATTTTCTCGCTTTGACAAAACATACTCCTCTCGCGCTTGCTCCTTATTTTTAATACCAGCAGTCATGTAAAATGTTGTAAGACGATCCAAACTCCATACATTTTTTCGCAAAAAACACATCAATCGTGACTTCACCCCAGCTGTTTCACCACATTCTACAAGTGCACGCCATATCATTACTGCTTCCTTAGCTGTGGATGCAGTCATTCGCAAATACCGATGAGAATCACATGTTTGTGATGAAGACTGTTCATTACCGGTAGTACCTGGAATCAGAAAACTGGAGCTGAGTACAGTATCAGGTGGAGTAAGGTTGATCCTGTAAAAGTCGCGGTATTTCAGTATAATAGTCCTAAAGTTGTTGTACATAGGGTAGTAGTGATAGAGCAACACAGTTGCCCACATACTTGTAACATTGGTGTTTTTGTTTGCTACATGTAGATCAAATAAAAAGTTATTAATATCCTGGTCAGTAACACGACTTCCATTTGGGCGAGGGTCAAACTTTATAGCACTTTTGCCGGGGACCTTGTATGAAGTGTATCTTAATTTTTCATCATTTATACTTGTTGGAGTTTTACGTTTTTTACCTTTTTTCCACTGACAAGGCATGTCTGTACAAGCAGGTACAGAGTCACTGGCAACATTGCTCAAATATAATAACACTGCTGCAACATGACTACAACGGGAAAGAGCTGATGCTTTGCAATGACAGCTAGCATCCAGGACTGCACCACTCACTGCTGACAGTGACACTGTGACATTATAGTGTATTGCTCGCATTGATGCCTCTACCAAACCTTTATAATGCATTATATTGCCAGACAGTTTCACTTTGAGATCACTGACTGTTGGGAACAGATTTATGTGATTAACATATTTGGGGATACCGTATGATATTCTTTATCTTACATTACTTGATTGACCACGCCGCCATGTTGGTAGGACGTGTCGTAGCTCGGCTCTTCATTTCAAGTAACCGATCTTGTACTCGACTTAGTCTACGATGAATGATATTCGCTGCTGTGATTGTGGAACATTTAATGGAGTTTCTCTTTGTCAAGGTGATCTTGATTTATGTGGACCGTGTAGAAATAAGCGATTCAAAACTACGTTGACCATGAGTAGCTCCGAAGACAATGGCCAAATTGACTCTACCCTGGCCTTCGATGCTACT